AATTAGAAACTTAATGTCTCTTCAAAGATAAACATTTTGGGACCACCTAGTAGGTGTACATCCCTAGCCCTTTATCTCTCAACTGCCTATAAAACCCCTAGACAATGCACCACCCCGGGGCTCTCTTGTCCCCTCCTGGCCTAAGCCAGGAGCTCTGTCCTCTTGCTTTCTCTCTAAATAAAAGCCTCTGCCTTGCTCTCCTACCTCGAGTGTTTGCAAAGTTCATTCTTCGACTCTGCCAACAAGACCCCGGCATTGCTATGACCATATAGACACAGAATGATATAAGCCCTGATTTTAATAAGGAACATATGAGATCAGAAGTATGGGTATTCCTCCAATAAGGGAGTTATCTTTTAAAATAAAAGGAAACTCAATCAAATCAGTCTCACCCAAAAGTGCTTGTTAATTCAGATACTGTATTGGACAGAGGCTTAGTTTGTGCTGAAAATAAAATAAAATATATAGGCTTATGAACTCTATGAGAGCTTGGGTTAGCTGATGCTTCAATCTCAAGAGAAATTTCCAGGCAAATGTTCTGTATGTTTCCTTCCAGCTAATGTAAAGAGAGAAAGATCAAATGGTTTTAGTAGAGAACTTTATAGAATTTTAAACCTTTACAGTCCTATGAAAGGTACTGTAAAGTTTGAAACAAGTGTTTTAGATAATTGTGGAAAGATAATATTTGGCTAACGTAGTAGATGATAATGGATCCTTATTCATTGATGTTAAATGAACATTCTCAATTAAAAAGTTTTCCCGTTTTTCTCGGGTTTTCATCTGCAAAAACTATGAGAATCCTAGAGTAGCTTTTCATTCCAAGATGTCTGTTGTAATTAACAGCTTCCTTTTTGCAGATATTCACAAACTTAGATTAGATTAAGTTAAAGTACTTCTGACAGTTTCAAAGTAGGATGTACTAGGGAGTTAGATTTTCATAGTCTCTGAGGAAGTAGGAAAGGGATGTTTGGTTTCAGGGGTCATTGAATGACTCATCCACTGACTTACCAAGTGCTTACCCAGCTAACCCCTGCCTTCTCGGCAGCCTCAATCTGCAGAGGCAATTTGGTGGGTGCCAAGACCAAGGCCTGGCCTCCCAGCATCATCTGGGCAGGTGCCTACACTGCTCATGTCAGTCTCCCTCAGGGGAGGGCACATTTTATCAGCGAGGAGACTGAAGCTCACTGCTAGCCACAGCGCATCCACGTCTGTCTGAATGGGGAGGGGACCTTGCCTACCCACTTTCCCAGAAGACAGAACATGGCTGTCACCTGAACTGGCACATGAGGCCCATCTGCAGGCGCCTCTGACAGCTGCTCACTCTGAGTGTGGTTCGGCTGAGCTTGACACAGGCTCAGCAGGGCAGCTGGGCAGTACGACTAGGTGCCAGCTCTGTAGCACCCCACTGTTCATTGTTTTGACAGCTGAAGTGTCAGAGGATTGTCCTTCAGAAAGCAGCTCTGGAAGGAGGTGAAGAAAGCCTGAGACCATTTGGAGGGACAGCTCTTCCAGGTGGAAGCTGAAACCCAGCAGACCAGCGAGGCTGGTGAGTTCCAGCTTCTCTCACTGTTGCTGCTCTTCCAAGGTGTGGACGGCCTGGGATGCTCCTGATTGAAAGCCTGCAGGGGTAACCTCTGTGAATACTTATGGCCAAAGAGGGTCCTCATTTCCACCAGGGACACCTCTTCTACTTCCCCTGGAATGCAGAGTATTTCAGAGTCATCTAGCATGGAACCAGACATCAAAGGCCCTAAGAGAGGGGCAGCCACTGAGGAAAATGGTCTGGCTGTTCTGCATGAGTTCAACATAGAATTATCACATGGTCCAGTGTATTAGTTTGCTAGGGCTGCTGTAACAAAGTATCATAGTCTGGGGGGCTTAAATAACAGAATTTTGTTTTCTTACAGTCTGCAGGCTAGAAGCCAGAGATCAATGTGTCAGCAGAGTGAGTTAGAGGCCTCTCTCCTCAGCTTGTAGGTGGCCACCCTGTCCTGGGTCCTAAGTGGTCTTCCATCCATACATGCCTGTCACTATTCATACTGGGTTAGGGCCCACCCTAATGATCTCATTTTAACTTAATTACTTCTTTAAAGGCCCTATCTCCAAATATACTCACATTTTGAGGTACTGGGGCTTAGGATTCCAATGTAAATATTTTGGGAGGACATATTTTAGCCCATACCACCTTGTAATTCCACTCCTAGGTATATATTCCAAAGAACTGAAAACAGGTGGTCAAACAAAAACAAAACCCATAATGAATGTCCATGTGAGCACTGTTCACAACAGCCAAAAGGTAGAAACAGCCCAGTGTCCATCAACTGATAAATGGATAAACAAAATGTGGTGTTTCCATACAATGGAGTATTCAGCCATAACAAGGAATTAAATACTGATATGAGCTATAACATTGATGAACATTGAAAACATGCTGAGAAAGACAGATACAAAAGGTCATATATTATGTGATTCCATTTATATGAAATATCTACAATAGGCAAACAGAAAGTAGATTACTGGTTTCCAGGAATGGTTGGGGGAGGGAATTGGGAGTGACTGTTAATGGCATGGGATTTCCTTTTGGGGTGATGAAAATTCTAGAACTAGTTAGTGGCAATGTTTGTACAACATTTTGAATATACTTAATGCCACTGAATTGTATACTTTAAAATGATTGACATGGTGAATTGTATGTTATGTGTTTTACCACACATGAAAACAAGGCCCTGGAAGATGATGGCTGGCAACTTAGCATCCCCCCGAATGCCAGCATCTTACTTCTTTCTCCCTTGAGCTGGCTGCAGACTCAAAGCCCTCTGTTTCTTCTATATCTTCCAAAGGGGATTTGCCAAAACTACTCTGTTATCTTCTTCACCTGGGTTTTGTGTATCCAATAAAATCTTTTATCTTTTACCTCCTGTTTAGAACCAACTATGAGATAGACCTGGAGATTGGCTTTGTACTGAGAGGGTGTGGTTGAGGACGGCTTTACCCACTTTACAGGCTCTCAGACTTGGTCAGCCGAGGACCAGTTGAGCTGGCACAGGTAACTCCCCCAAGGGACATGCCAGTCAACAGGCAGATCTGAATGTGAGGGCACCCAGCAAGTGGCCTACCCTCCTCCTAAATTTACCAGCCATGTGTTCCCTCATCCCACTGGGGAGGAAGGAGAAAAGCTGGAAATGTTCCTTTTCTCTGGAGACAGCATGAGCATCCCCTCCCTCTGTGGAAGCAGAAAGGTGAGCATTAAGACCACCTCTCCCTAAACCTCCCTCCCTCTGAACACCCTCTCCCAGGTTAGCTTAGTCACTATTAACAGGGAATATTCTAGAGAGGATTGAATATTTTTGGGCTTTCCTTCTTTTAATATTTAAAGAAACTGGACAGAAAATAAGCTTAAACTGTGTTGTCTTTAACACAGCCTACAGTAACTCTCAAACTGGATTGTGGATCAGAATACACCAGTGGGCTGGTTACACATATTCAGATTCCTGGTACCACCCGTAGACTGTCTAATTCCAGTGGGTTGGGGCCTGAGAATGTGCATGTCCAATAAGTTCCATGTGAAACCCAGTAATTCTGGGGATGGAATTTCTACAACCACGGAGGTAGAGAAAGGCTTTTATCTCCTTGAGGAGAGATTATCCATGTGGTGTCCCGTCCTCTGTCGCCTAGGATGCTCCAGACACACACCTGGTCCATTGGCCTGGCTGCACACCCAGGGGGCAGTGTGGCTGCTGACAGAGAGCTCAGATCCCCGAGGAGGAGGAGACACTGCTGCTGTCCCAGAGGGGTTGAGGCCGAGCAGAAGTGAAGGCTCACTGCTCTGAAAACCAAGGAGGCGAAGGGGCCAGTGAAGCAGAAACTGCAGAGCCTGGTCAAAGGTCTGCATGGAGGTGAGGAGCAAGGCCTGCCAGCCCCACCTGTTTGTCACCTAGGGCTGGAGTCACAAGAGGTGGAGGCCCAAGAAGTCCTGTGACAGAGAATATTCAATGGCCCATCTCACCTGGGAGGAATGGTGTCATCTCTGAGGTGAGGTCCTACTCATCTTGGCCTTAGAAAATGTATCCAGACATTGTGACTCACTTTTCTGTGACTTTCTTTTTGAATATACTTCCAAACTTCCAGAAAAAATTGCCAAGAATTACACAAAGAACTCATAGATATCTTTGCCCCAGAGTCGCCATTGTTTGTCTTTGCCTCATTTGCAAATGATCACTCTGTGTGTGTGCGTGTGTATGTAGTACATAATTTTTCTGGACCATTTGAGCAATTGGCAGTTTCATCCCTCTTTGCTAATATTTCTGTGTTTCCTAATAATGAGAACATTGTCTTACATAATCACAATACAATGCTTACAGTGAGGAAATTTAACATTACTACAGTATTAATACAATATTGTTATCTAATCTATGGCCCATATTCAAATTTATAAGATAAGAGTCAGTATTGTTGATAGCTTTTCCTCCAGGATCCAGTCCATGATGACACACTGCATACACTTGTCCTGCTTCTATTAGCTCCTTTAATCTGAACAATTTAATCCCTGAGCCTTGCCGCTGCTGATTTGGGGAAATGTACCCACGTGGGGTGCACTGGTACTTGATTATCAGACCCCACCCCTTTGCCTGGAGACCCGCCTTACTGCTGCTGTTAAATTGTAACATTGGTCGGGCTTCCTGAGTCCTAAACTGCTCTTTTCTCAGACCTTTATCCAAGGAGCTGATGTTGGGTGGGGAACGATCACAGCATCAACCTCCACCCAGCCAAATCGAAAACCAGCCCACATCTCTGGAATCTTCGGTTCATTAGCAATGTTCATGTGGGCTTGGCACCTTGAAGCACTATACGCCAGCCTCTGAGGGATGGGAGTGGTGGTTACCAGGGTCTGGGGAGCTCACAGGCCTGTGCTTTCCCTCAGAGGGAAGTGGGCAGTGGGAGGAGGTGGAGAGAGAACATGGCCAAACCAGGGGAGACCTGCCAGCCACAGGCTCACTATAGTTCACCTGTGGCCTGTGCTCTGGTGGCATCTGAGGCTCTAGGCCAGGAGGACAGGCTGCCCTGATCAGTGGGCATAAGGCCCAGTGACCCAGATGAGACACCCACTAAGTGGGAATTGCTGGGCTGTGTCACTGCTAAATTCAGGGATGTTGTGTTTGAACAGAACAAAAGGGCTAAACTTCTTTATTTTTAAAATTCAAATTATTTTAAAACCAATCATATCCTCTTTGTCCTACAATGCACATTACAGTACTTGATTGTCAGCCTCAAACCATTAAAAGAATTTTACAAAGGAGAAGGTCACACCATGCCACTCTGGGTTGCAGAATACAACTCCAAAATACAGATCCCTCTTTCTTGGGCCTGGGCTTTCCAGTACAGAAATGTGTTAGTTCTCTAGTAATTAAAAACACTATCTCAGACCTACCATAATATGCCAGTTATTTGAGAGTTACTGCTATTGAACTACTAAATAATGAGTTATCACCCATTAGCAGTTAGAATCTAGGAATCAAATCCAGTGTTTTTATAATGGTCCACTTTTAGTGCAGTTAGCAAAACACCAGTGAGACCATATTCAACTAAACATCTGATTCTTTAATCTTCTCCATGATTATTTGTATTGGTTGAAACTATTAGTTCTTTATACTAATAATAACCTAGCCAGGCTGAGGGTGCATAGATTAGCATGAAGACTTCATTATATGGGTAAAATGCTTCTGATTTTTCAAACCTGGGTTAGTATAATTTTTATTTTCTGGAGATTTTGTTCATGATCATTAGTTGTATATAGCTTCTGGAGAATGCAGAAATTGTATCTTCCTGAGAATACAAAAGAGGTTGAATTTCTGAGATGAAATCTACATAAAGTCAGAGAAGCTGAGAAAAGAGATATGTGGAGGCTCCAGGCTGTGACCCAGAGGTGGTGGCCTATGGGTTTGTCACTCAGACCTGGGCCTGGGGCTTACTCTGGGCATTGCTGTAAGCAAATCACATATATTACCTCATTTTTTCATCTTATATGAGGTGGATGATATTTCATCCCCATCCATTTCATAAAGGAAGAAATGAAGGCCATTTAAATCTCCTTCCCTTTCCCATGTCTGCCCTCCTGTCTGGACCCCGAAGCCTGCCAGACTGAAGGCAATGCATCCAGTGTCTCCTTGGGCTGCTCCTTGCCCTCCTGCCCCACTGAGAAGAGAGGGATGATGGAACTGTAAAGGCGGGTGAAGTGTTTTACTTGACTGGTGCAGATGTCATATAACTTTAGCACCTTCCACTTGTACAGATGACCAAATATTGGCTCATTGCCTTGTGAGGTGCTTTTGTGTGTGTGTGTGTGTTTTGCCCTCTACCTAATGGGCTTCTAATGCAAGTCCTCAGGATACCACATTCTTCTCTGCTCCTGCTTCTGGCATTTGGGTTACCTAACTCTTGGGTGAGCTCCTTTACAGATATTGTGGGGTAGCTACCTTCCTCACTGTCAACTCTGGCCCAAGGGAACATCCACCTTTGCCCTGCATCCAGTGGGAAAGTTCCTTGCTTTGATGAAGTTTTCTCCTCTCTACTCTCGGCTTTTTGCCTTTAGATTTTTCCAGACAAGAGGTAGGCATCAGTGTCTATATCCTTAAAGTTCCAGGTGACATGCTTCAAATGTCTTCAACTCCTTTTGGCTTTTATCCACTGGTTAGCATGTCCTGCATGGATGACCATCATTTCTTTTTAGAACAGAATTCTTGTCACCTATTGTTCTCAAGAGCAATTTTGGAGACATTGAGTCTGATTTTGATGTCCTGTTAAATAATGATTTCATTTAAACCTTACCCTCTGAGATAAGGTATTTCCTCCATGTTAAAGGTAAGGAAACAGCATCAGAGAGGATAATAACCTTGTCTCAACTGTCACACAAGCCCTTGCTGGAATCTGGACCTGCTGCCATATTTGGCCCCTGAGGAAAGTGATATCTTCTCACTCAGCCTACAGGTTTTTTCTGTGGCTGTGAACATGTATCACCAAACTTCCCTGAAATAACACTAACAACAATTTATTGTGCATGTGCCTTGAATAGGTTCAAGCTCTGCATACATTACCAGCTCCATCTTTGCCATGGGGAAATGAAGGCTCAGAGAGGTTAAGTGATTTTCCCAAGGTCACACAGCTCTTAACTGGCAGAGCTGGGATTTAGGTCAGGGTTTTCTGACTCTAGAGTCCACACCCTTTCTTCTACAGTCTATACAATAACTGAATTTATAAAATCCTCCAAATGTTCAGAGAGAAAGGAGGAATGAATATAGGCAAAATTTCACTGTTTGTTGGATTAGAATTATTTTGTTTTTCATTCTTTAATGATCATTTTCAGCCCTCATACAATAACCCTCAACAGCTTTCAACTCAAAACGATGTTGAATATTTTGTATTTGAAAAAATACCTGTAAGAAGAAAAAGATGGCTGAGTAGGAAAACAAGGCAGAAACTTCTTCCCAAAAACACATAAAGGAATAAACTACAGAAAATACAGCTAAACCTGAAAATGATCTACAGACTGCAAAACAGACCACCTACACCTGGGGAAGAAGAGGAGATCACACAGAAAAGGATAAAGTGGCAGACCTGTGATCAAGGGGGACCTAAGCCCTTCCCTCATCCCACCCCAGAGGAGGGAGGAAAAGAAACAGAGCCTGGAGGGAATAGGCACTCAGGAACTCTATGCACCTGGCCCTGGAGATCTTCTCTGAGAGTACGAGTCCACATTACACTGGGTTCTAGTGATTAAGGTGCAGGACACCAGGGACAGGTGGAGCACCCTGGGAGGCTGAGACTCCAGCTGCTTGTGGAGGCCAGGTAAGCTCCAGTGTTCCTGAGAGGTGGTGGTTTGAATGACTTTTCAGCAGTGGGAAGGGTGCCAGAGAAGCAAGAGTTGGATGTAAATCTCTCCTCAGGAGAAAGGGCAGGTGGACAATACCTCCCCAGCCCTCCCTTGGCCCAAAGGCCAAGAATTCTCAGGAGCCCCAGATGCTCTATCCCTCTCACTGGCAACTCAGCCACAAAGTACCTCCTTGTGTACATTGCTAATGAGCCCACCCACTCGGCCCAGCAGCAGCAGCAGACTTTGCTGTCTGGCAGGCAGAGGGAGACTCTCTCAGCTTTCTCAGCCCTGCTTCAACCAAACTGGGGAGGTGCCTGCAGGAGCCAGTCCTGAGAGCTCCTTCTTCCCTATGGGTGTCCAAGCATAGTGCTGCACTTCCCACACTGACCCAGGGTGCACAGTGGCCCTGCCTATTCCGTTAACACTGTAGCCCCACCATCACTGCAGGGCAGGCAGAGGGTAGCCTGCCTACAGCAATCCCAGCAGAGGCTTCTGCTCAGATCATAAAGGCAGCTGAAGCAAACTGCCAGCGCAGCAAACTCAGACCATTACTGGAAGAAAGACAGAAAGGCAGCCCCACCCACTGCACATCAATAGCAAGTGGGGCTCCTGTAAAGTAGAATGTGGCACTGGAGAGTAAAGTGTCTTGAGCTTCTGGGCACCATAGGATGCCTCCTTCATGAGACTATTACTCTCGAGACTAGGAAGCATAGCAGATCCATCTTATACAAAGGACGAAACACAGAAACCCTGACAAAATGAGGAGGCAAAGGAATATATTTCAAACAAACTACAAGACAAAAACCAGAAAGAGGGCTAACTGAAAGGGAGATCACCAATCTTCTTGATAAATATTTCAAAGTAAAAATCATAAACATGCTCACTGATTTACAGAAAAGTAGCCAGGATCTCAGGGAGGACTCCAACAAAAAGAGAGAAGCTGAAAAAGAACCATGCAGAGCTGAAGAATACAGTAACTTAAATGAAACATAATGGAGGGAAGGAATAGATTACTGCAAATAGAGGAGACAACCAATGAGATGGAAATTAGAGAACAGGAACACAATGAAGCTGAGGCACAGAGAAAAAAAGGATCTCTAGGAATGAAAGAATGATAAAAGAGCTGTGTGACCAATTCAAATGAAACAATATTTGCATAATAGAGGTAAAAGAAGGAGAAGAGAGAGACAGAGGGATAGAAAGTCTCTTTGAGGAAATAATTATTGAAAAGTTTCCTAATCTGGGGAAAGAAATAGACACTCAGGTCCTGGAAAGCAAACAGAGCCCCTAATAAAAGGAACCCCAGGAAGATACCACCAAGACATATAATAAAATGGCAAAGTTCAAGAATGAGGAGGGAGTATTGAAAGCAGCCAGAGAAAGAAAAAAGATTACTTATAAAGGAAACCCCACTTGGCTGTCAGCAGACTTCTGAACAGAA